GATGCACGGGAGCGGCGGCCGCGTCCGCCTCAAGGCGCACTACAGCTGGGACATCCTGGTCACCAGCCTGGACGCCGCCACCACCTTCGAGGAGCTGTGTGCGGAAGTGAGGGAGATGTGCAGCCTCCCCCAGGGCCAGCCGCTCACCCTCAAGTGGGTGGACAGTCAAGGTGACCCTTGCACTGTGTCTTCCCAGATGGAGCTGGAGGAGGCCTTCCGCCTGTCCTGTCAGCGCAGGAGCGACGGGCTCATCATTCAGGAATACATCTACCGCCGCCGCGGAGCCCGAAGATGGAGGAAGCTGTACCGCGCCAACGGCCACCTCTTCCAAGCCAAGCGCTTTAACAGGAGAGCGTACTGCGGCCAGTGCAGCGAGAGGATATGGGGCCTCACCAGGCAGGGCTACCGGTGCGTCAACTGCAAACTGCTGGTCCATAAGGGCTGCCACGTGCTCGTCCCGCTGACCTGCCAGAGGCATATGGATCCCGTCATGCCATCCCAGGAGCCTCCGGTAGATGACAAGGACGACGACGTGGACCTGGCTCCCGAGGAGACCGATGGCATTCCTTACATCTCCTCCTCCCGGAAACGTGACAGCATTAAAGATGACTCGGAGGACCTCAAGCCGGTCATCGACGGGATGGACGGCATCAAGATTTCTCAGGGGCTGGGGCTGCAGGACTTCGACCTCATCAGGGTCATCGGGCACGGGAGCTACGCCAAGGTCCTCCTGGTGCAGCTCAAGAAGAACGACCAGATCTACTCCATGAAGGTGGTGAAGAAGGAGCTGGTGCACGACGACGAGGACATCGACTGGGTGCAGACGGAGAAGCACGTGTTCGAGCAGGCGTCCAGCAGCCCCTTCCTGGTCGGCCTGCACTCCTGCTTCCAGACGACCAGCAGGCTGTTCCTGGTCATCGAGTACGTCAACGGCGGGGACCTCATGTTCCACATGCAGCGGCAGAGGAAGCTTCCGGAGGAGCATGTCAGGTTCTGCGTCGCCCTCAACTTCCTGCACGAGCGGGGCATCATCTACTCTACCGGGACCTGAAGCTGGACAACGTGCTCCTGGACGCCGACGGCCACATCAAGTTGACGGACTATGGCATGTGCAAGGAAGGCCTGGGTCCCGGTGACACCACGAGCACGTTCTGCGGGACCCCCAATTACATCGCCCCAGAAATCCTGCGCAGAGAGGAGTACGGGTTCAGCGTGGACTGGTGGGCGCTGGGCGTCCTGATGTTCGAGATGATGGCCGGGCGCTCCCCCTTCGACATCATCACCGACAACCCCGACATGAACACGGAGGACTACCTGTTCCAAGTGATCCTGGAGAAGCCCATCCGCATCCCCCGGTTCCTCTCCGTCAAGGCCTCCCACGTCCTGAAGGGGTTCTTGAACAAGGACCCCAAAGAGAGGCTCGGCTGCTGGCCACAGACTGGGTTTTCCGACATCAAGTTTCACGCCTTCTTCCGCAGCATCGACTGGGACCTGCTGGAGAAGAAGCAGGCGCTGCCGCCCTTCCAGCCGCAGATCACCGACGACTACGGCCTGGACAACTTCGACACGCAGTTCACCAGCTAGCCCGTGCAGCTGACCCCCGACGACGAGGACGTCATAAAGAGGATCGACCAGTCCGAGTTCAAGGGGTTCGAGTACATCAACCGGCTACTGCTCTCCACCGAGGAGTCCCTGTGAGGCATCCGGGCCGTGGACACGCCTGTGAATGACCCGCGCCTTCGCCGCCGCGCATGCATGCCGGGGAG